AATATTGTCGGATCATATGGTGTTTCCCCCTCTCTATATTGTTGTGATGAATTGAGTTTATCCTTTTGAGATTTCGTTGTTATCGGATTGAATACTTTTATGGATTTGAGAACACTTGATATATGTCTCGCAATTGAATACTCGTGGTGACAATGGGGTATCATTCACTTGATATATGTTTTGGCACTCAACTCGCGGATTCCCGAGGTGACATTGGGGTAATCTTTGCATTGGGGTTGATGCACGTTCTTGTCTTTGTTTCTTCGGTAGAAATCTTGGGGCACTCTTTGAAGTTCTTTGTGTGGGATTAAATATTATAAATCTGAATTTGCTTTGGTGTTATTTTAGTACGAACTCTAGGATAGATCGAACGGAAAGAATAGCTTTGTGTTATTTTAGTACAAACTCTTGAATAGATCGAACAGAAAGAATAGCTTTGAGGTGGTTTCATACCCTACAAACAATTCCGTCTTATGTTCTCCGCTAGATAGGAACTTTGGAGTGATTCTCCATCGCACTTTGAGGGATGGTTATATGATCCAACTATATTAGCATTGTTGAGAGATTGCGCTAGTGAAAGTATGCACCCTAGTCCTCATTTTCCATCATTGCAATGCCATTTGTGCTCCATTTTACTACTTACTACCTTGCTGTTTTTTATTGTTCGCATTACAAAAACTCATATCTACTATCCATACTACACTTTTATCACCATCTCTTCGCCAAACTAGTGCACCTATACAATTTGCCATTGTATTGGGTGTGTTGGGGACACAAGAGAATTCTTGTATTTGATTGCAGGGTTGCTTGAGAGAAACTATCTTCATCCTACGCCTCCCAGGGATTGATAAACCTTAGGTCATCCACTTGAGGGAAAATTGTTGTTGTCCTACAAAACTCTACACTTGGAGGCCCAACACGTGTCTAGAAGAATAAAGTTGCGTAGTAGACATCAAACATTTATAGTGAGACTTAGCAAATCTGACCCCTAGATGCCTGATCAATGAACGGGCGCGTCCGTTTTGAGCCCCTATTTTCTCTTCATGCATCCACACTTCTCATTTTTTCCTTATGTGTCCGATCACTTGCATGTGATTGGTGGAGAGAAGAAAGAGAAAGAAAAGAAAGAATAAACAAAGAGAAAAGGTGGTCCGGGGTGGGCCGCGTCCTATGTGGCGGACTGCCCGGGCGCCCTCATACCCTCCCTACATTTGTCCTTAATATGAGGGTTTGCGGACAACCCGAACGTATAGGGATGATATGAGGGTTCCTTGTCTCACATGTCCAGTCACTGACGGGTGCGTTCGCGGGTGTATAAGAGTGGGTTTGAGACGTCCGACTGTAGATGCTCTAATGAGTCAGGGGATGGGTGGGGATGGCGTGAGGTCGTGTGGTCCAATTTTGTAACTCGTCGCATATTGGCCTCACGCGCTCCCACGTGCTCGTGAAAGCTCATTTGTACTAGCGTGACGGCTCTTTCGTATCTGTCACAAAATACAGAATGATCGGAAGGTATCTCTATATGTATCCTTGGTATAGTATAGTGTGGTTACATGTGTTTTTACAGGCGTTCACCCTTTGTGTCGTCATTTTAATATCATGTTGCTTTCTTAGGGCATCTCCAATGCCGACCTTCAAACTGCCCCCATATGTTCGGGTCGTGCAGTCCAGACGTGTTGTGCCATTCAACGTGGGTCTGTATCAGTCCACCGAGTGATCCGGACGCACTTTCTCTCGCAAAGTGGAAGCAAAGTTGAGGAGGGGCATTGAGGGAGTCTGGACATCAGCCACATAGGACTTCGACACCCTGGTCCACTAAACCCCCTTCCTAGTCCTATTTTCTTACAATATGCCCCTTCTTCCCCTTGCTTTGCATCCGCACTCTCCTCCTCCGACGTCACCATTATACCTCTCCGGCCGGCACACATGCATTGTCGGACCTCTGCAACCAACACTGATGCCCTGGCTCCCCTTTTACGATGGCGTCGTCCACCCAGGACCCGTCCGTAGGCAGGTACACTCCGCCCCCTGTCGTCGTCCATGGCGGATAGCACGCCCGTTAGGTGTTCGGTCAAATCTCATTGAGCTTATTTTCAGATGTCGTATCTTTTTTTTAGAGTACAAAGAATGGCGGGGGTACTCGACCATGGAGGATGAGTTGTTGTGTGATGCGTGGTTGGCCATATCCGCGGATTTCGTAGACAGGATCAGGGGGGCACTTCTGACAGCTCGTGCATGATCCATTTCACGCGTGAAAGCATATTGCGCCCTACGACATGCACATCATCAATGATTGCAATGTGAGACCGTTATCGTACCGATGGTATGCCATCCAGACCACCATCGCCAAGTTTTGTGGAGCGGTTGATATGCCGGAGACAAGGTGGCCATTGCGTGCGCCAGCCGAGGAGATCGTAAATTTTGCTTCTTCTTGCTCAGCTTATTGATTGATTCATTCAATGTTTCTCTACAAATTGTTTAGCCAGTATGGGCGTCCTGATATACCATAGGATAGAGGGACGACCATTTTCGCACATACACGGTTGGATGAAGCTGAAGGGGCAGTATGTGTGGGACGACATGATTCGTTCATGAAAAACTTGTTGAACATCCGGTTAATCTCGTTAAATTTGAACTCTTGTTGTACTAGATTTTTTTACATGCTATGTATGAATGATTTATGCTATTTCTATTCGAACTTTGATTAAATTCGCCGTGTTTGCATGAATTTCGTTCGATTAGTTGAAACTTGGCTTCAAATGTATGCGGACAGAGTTGGATGACCGCCCCACATCTTTGTCCGCGGATGGTCATCTTCTGTCCACAGACAGGTGCCGGAGCAAATTTACTGGTGAGCATTGGAGATGTCCTTGGTAAAATAAGGGAGGAATCTCTTTCTACTCTTTTTTTCCGAAATGAATCTCTTTCTACATTAATACTCCCTCCATTTTTTAGTCTGCATATAAGATTTGGGCCCAGTTCTTTTGTCAGAATCTAACTAGATAGGTTTGTAAAATAAATGGGGCTCAAAGATTCTGAAAGAAGCTGGGTAGGGACCGGATTCTGGAAGAATCCCAAATTCTGACAAAAGAACTGGGCCTTGGTGAAAGTCAAACTTTGTTAACTTTGACTAAGTTTATAGAAAAAAATCAAAATTCACAATATGAAGTCAATATTGTTAGATGCATCATTGAAATTAATTTTCACACCATATAGTTTTAGTATTGTAGATGTTGGTATATTTTTCTATAAAATTGGTCAAACTTTACAAAATTTGACTTTGACCAAATCTTATATGCAGACTAAAAAGAGACGGGGGAGTACTACAGGAAACTGATGAAAAATACTTCCCCAAACGGTAATCAAAATTTCTGATGCAAACAGGCATCAAATCTGAAGAGGTTACAGTCTGACAGAGGTGACATGGATCTTTCTCACTTAGTACTAGTACTCCGGAAATAGGGTGACTGGCTGTTAGCTGTGATTGGGAGGGGACGACGCATGATCCCAGCGGCTGACTTTATGGACGATTCTTTTAATCAAATCTCGGCTACAGAAACAGATGACAGCCTTTTCTTTGTTCGTTCGCTTCCCGTGCTTGCTCTGCGCTGGTAGGACGTCTTTCTGGTGCGGCCGACCCAACCAAAACGGAAGAAGGAAAATGAAGAAATCAAAGCAAGACAAAACAGCAGCTTTTCATTCCCGTCCAACCTAAGATCCCATCTGCGCATTTTTTTTCTCCAATAATTTACCGTTTTCTCATTGCTTCTATTCTAAGACTGTACTGCAGGCTATCTGTTGATATTTACCCGTGACGCATTAAGTGTAACCCAGATTTTTTTACACCATACTGAGTCTACATGTCTAATCTGGATCCTGGCAGTTCGGATCCGCCGACGTCCATGTGAGACTAGACCGTATGCCCTGCCTGTACCAGCACCAGCAACAATGGATCGATCTAGCATTTGATGTGCAGCTGTGCACAGCCACATGCCGCAGTGACCTTTGCCCATTGTGCAAGCATGTCTTCTTTCCAAAAACAAAAGCAAAATTGTAACCCGACGTCGGAGACACGAGGACACGCCTCAAGGAATCCATACATACATGTAGCCAAATCGTGGCCCCAAGATAGGCCTTCAGAGCGATTGGAGAAGGAATTGAATTGGGGAATTGGTTTGGCAGCAGTATGTCAGTATCTCCAGGATTAATCCGGTCTGTTTTTGGCCTTGATGAGACCACATAACATAAACCTCTTGATGGTCAAATCTTTATAAAACAGCAAAGTGGAGTATCCCACACGCACAACCAATAAATAAATAATTTCCCCCGAGTTTTTCCCTCCGTCCTCAAGATGCGTTCGACAGCCGATCCTCCACTCCTTAATTCTCTGCTAAAAGCGAGGCCAAACGTACGGGATCATGACGGGCGTAACTCCCGCCAGCAACGCATATGCTCGTATGGCGCATGACCAAATTGAATTGAAGATCTTCCAAAAGGCCGACGATCTTCTTGATTTTGCCAGTTTTACAGCCCAATTTTCGCTTCGGTTTCGTGGCGCTTGCAGGTGGGCCGTTTTGTTCCAGCAGTTAATTCCCCGATTCTTCGGTTTTGCAACGTGAAATGCCATAAAATTCTGCCTTGTTTTCGATTGCTCGGCCATTTTGCGTTGCTGCGTATTTAAGTGTTGTGCCGAAGCAACTTTCTCACCGCCTCCCCACTTGTTTCTTCCTCTCGTTCCTCCTCCTTGGCGGAGGTGGAGGGATGCTTGCTTGTCACCTACTACTCTGCCTTTTAAGCTCCCCACTCTCTCTTCCTCTTCTACCTCTCACACTTCTTCTGCTTGGATCTTCCCCATTGGACTATCAGTTGTCCCTCGGTTGAGCAAGCAACAGAGGAACGAACAAGCAAAGCCAGCAAGCTGCTCGTGATTCCAAGCATTGCGGTACCTGATCTCTGCTGCTCCCTTGCCTTGTGTGGGAATTAGTCTTGCTCGTTTGCCGATGGACAGGCACACCTGCAAGCTCTGCTTCCGGAGGTTCCAGAATGGCCGTGCCCTGGGCGGCCACATGCGCTCCCATGTCATGGCGGCTGCCGCGGCTGCTCCGTACTCGACGCCGCCACCGCAGCAGCTGTCGCCGCCACTGTCCTTAGCATCCACCTCGTCGACGGACACGGATGGTAAGCCAGCTCAACCGAAGCGACTGTCCTGGGCCCTGCGTGAGGATCCCGCGAGAAGCTGCAAGGTAGGCGCGCCTGAATTCTCAGGCGGATGCTTCGGCGGGATCACCGCGGCGGCCGGCGAGTCGTCGGTCGTGCAGGACGGCGAGAGCGACACGGAGTCCCCGCGCGGTGGCGCGGGGTTCGCCGTGAGCCGACGGCGCTCCAAGCGGGCACGGCGGCGCGCGCCGCCGCCTGTGCCGGATCCCGAGCCGGCGAGCACCGTCTCCGATTCGACGCAGGAGGAGGACGTGGCCATGTCGCTCGTGATGCTGTCTCAGGACTCGTGGACGCGGTCCAGATCCGAGCCGGAGCCCCGCTGGGCCTCGGAGGCTGAGCAAAACAACGACGGCGCCAAGGTGTTCGACGAGGACGAGGACGGTCGCAACGTGGTCGGCGAGGCTTACTACGTCGAGACGGCGGCGGCGCACGTGCACCCACGCGCAAGGCACCAGTGCGGCGCATGCAAGAAGGTGTTCCGATCGTACCAGGCCCTCGGCGGCCACCGCGCCAGCGTCAAGAAAGGCAAGGGCGGCTGCGTGCCACCGCCGGCTGGCAAGGCCTGCCGCGCCGACGCCCCGATCGTCCACGAGTGTCCGTTCTGCTTCCGCGTGTTCGGCTCCGGCCAGGCCCTGGGCGGCCACAAGCGCGCGCACATGCCGTTCGGCGGCGCGCTCGCCGCCTCGTCGCCTCCGGCGAAATGCGGCGACAGCTTCGGGTCCTTCGATCTCAACGTGCCGGCCGCGTTCGACGACGACTTCGAGCTCTCCGCCGTGTACGACGCCGAGTTCGGCAGCGCCAGACAGTGAGGTCAGCTGTTCTGACTTCTGACCAGCCATCGTCCAGATCGATCGCCAGATGTGCTCAGATGAGCTCATGGACTGGCAGCCCAGCTTGAGCAATCAGCATGCATGGATGGATTCGAGGCTAGGGCTCTTCTTCCATGCAAGATCCAGGTGGAGAACAGTTGAGCAATAAAAAAATATCTCGGTTTTTAGCTGAACAGCCCGATTCATTTTTTGTCCACTGTATCTACATGTTACTCTGTTCTATTTTTTTTGTACAATATCTCTCACTGGGATTTGACCCGTGCCATTAAGCTACGCTTTGTTGAACTTTACAGTAGCCGTAACAGCTCACCACTTCAGCTCGCGAAACTGCCAGTGCTCTAGCTTCTATAATTTGCTGGGATAAAACAGCAATTGATGCATTGAACAATTGAATACAGTAGTTACAAAACCTAAATTGTTGTTGGTCACAGTGTCTTTTGCCCACTGGCATGCATCCGGTTCGGTTTCAGCGGCCATGTAGTACACTCAGCAGCTCTCTCACTTTCTTTTCTGGCCGTACAGTAGTAGGCTCCACCGAGGGCGAGGCAGGGTGTGTGAGTCAGTTGGTTGGTTCAGCTCTTGCCGAGCTACGCTTCTTCGACGCAACAGCTGCTGCTTCTGTTTGCTTCCACGTGAAAAGGGCTCTGTTCTACTCTCACTAGTACTAGTATAGTACTTGTCCGTGTCTTCTAGTACGAGTATTTATTCGCCTACTCCTGTATCTGCCACCACACGGCACGGGCTCGGCGGTTGGCGTGAGGCTGCAGGTGGGACCGTGGAAGCAGGGGCCAGCGGCAGTGTAGGTGTAGGTGGTGCTCGCCGCCCGGCAGGTACGTACGGACGGCGCTAAACTGCTCGCCCTCGCTTCTAGTCCTGGCCTGCCTCCGACTTGTTTGTCTCCTCCCCGCTTTTGGAGCCTAGCGCGGTTCTTCCTCGGCTTCTTTTCCTACCCATTTTACCTGCCTAAATTAGGCTCCCTACGAGGTAGTAAATCCCACTCGACCGATCGGCATTTCTCCCCTCCCTGACGACGCGCCACGCCGTGCAATGTACCGTCAGCGCTTCAGTGGATCCACAGCTGCGTACAAAGTGAGACATGTCGTGCGCAGCCGTCAATGACTCAATGTCGTATCTAAGAGCATCTATGGCCAGACATGGCAAATCCGATCCCTCAAACGTCAGCGAACGCGACTGTACGCGTCCGCGAGCACGGACTAGGCACGCCTCAAATTAACCGTTTTGCACCCGTCTCTCTCATATTTCATCCCCTGAATTCATACAAAGCATGCAGAAGAAAATCCTACGTACTACATCGACGTAGTATCCTAACTACTCTTTGTCGTCGGAGATGTCCATGACGACGGTGCCAAGCGCTGGCTGGACGGATGGGTAGGAGGGCTCCGACTCATCTTCCTCCTGCTCGACCTCATCCATGTAGGCGAACATCTCCTCCTCCTTCGCGGCCTCTTTTGCCTCCGTCTTCTGCCGGCAACTGCGTCTTGTCTTCACAGCCGACTCCGACTGAAGGGAATTGAGGATGGCCTGCTGCTCCGCCTGCAGACCCCCGTCGCTACCGTCCCCCACATCCTCCTCCTCCGGCTCCTCCTCCTCCTCCGGATCGACTGCATCCAGAGATAGCCCCGCGGCGATCCGGACTTCGCGCCTAGCCCAGATCTGCTCAAGGAGCTCGAGCCGGTGCTCCAGCGTCAGAAGGGCGCGCCCCTCACCCGACGGCGTGGAGACATGGCTACTAGATGGATTGGTGGCGTGGAAATGGCGACGGTGATAGACATGAGGAGGAAAATGTGGATCGATGGAAGGGTTTTGGTGCCGCCGGTCGACTTAAATAGCTGGGTAATGCACTACATGTCTCGCCGAAGCTGCGCCACGCGGCGTCACCATTTCGACGGAGGAGACGAGTTTTAGACCGCGGGGTTTGAGGGTGTTTCCGGCTGTGACCCCTTCGTCACTCCGACGTGACGGTCCGTCCCCCGCGCCCCCTTATCCGCCCCATATTTGAGCTGAGTATGGGGGTGTGCCGGTCAGCCCAGACAGTTGAGGGCCGTTTGACTTTGAGAGGTCCGTCTGGATTAAAAAATCGTGACCGGGCGGTCTGCCCGGGCGTATAAAGCGAGGTCCGGTTGTAGATGCTCTGGCGCACAACGCGTGAGGGGATGCGTGATGGTGGTGGCATCGCGCCTACTCGTTGTGCTCGCTAGCTAGCTCGGCTGGATCGACTCAAGTCCTCGAAAACTCAACTCAAGTCGTGAGCTGATCATGAGATTCGCGTGGCGTACTACCTTGCATCTTCTATCTGGTGGGCTGAGAGACCGATGGATCCACCCGCCCGAAGCATATCGGGGAGCGGAGTCCTTCCTGCCGTGCGTTGTCGCTTGCACAGAGTGGAATCCCTTCCTGCCGGAGAGTATCTACCACTACTACTGGGATATGGTAAGCTTATAATTATAGTAAGTACTATAAGATTGCTGGCTGATGATGAGATTTTAGGCATGTCAATGGGGTAATCATTAGTTAGTGATCCAGTCTAACAAATTAGTCTGGCATCTTGGTGTGCATAGGACGGGGAAAGGACCGGGCTTTGAGTTTTTTTTTGTTAAGCAAAGAAAGGGCTTTGATTGGTCACGTAAGCAGCGGTTCTGAAGGTGGATTAGTGGAAGACGGAAGACAACAGCGTGACCGCACGCACACGTACTATTTGACCAACTTCATAAAGGCCTGGCCGGTGTGAAATACATAGCGTTAGTTCATGTATATGTCCCAGACCAAACGGGAGAAACATCACCAGAAATATCACTTGGTACATTTGCTCACCGGAGACTGATTTTTGTAGGCAAGTATGGAACTTTTCTTTTCTTTCTGCGGATGAAGCATGGAACTTAAATAATTACCTACAGGTCATTCTTACTAAAGATAATTTTATTAAGAGGAATTGGGATGGAAGTACGGAATCCGTTTTTTATCAACATGATGACACAATAAAACATTTGTTCTTCCTATGCAAATTGGATCATTCTATATGGTCAATCATTCAAATAGGTTCTGGCTTGTATTCTCTTTGTAGTATTGCTAATATATTTGCAACTGGTCACATGGATTGATCACAGGTTTAAAACTCTTCTCAAGGTGGGAGCGCTTGCTATTATTTGGTCGTTTTGGCTATTTAGAAATGATAAGGTTTTTAATGATAAAAGTACTTCTCTTATGCAGGTTATCTATAGATGCACCGGGACTCTTCGTTTTTGATCCTCTCTACAACGCGTGGAGAATCAAGACCTGCTTACGGAGGTGTGTACATGATTGACGGATACGGCGAGGGATACTTTTACCAACATGGGTGACAGCATGATCTTAGGATTGACCCCCTCCGGTTTAGACGTTATACATACTCTACATGTTTCTTTTTGGTTTTTGTGAGATGACATTGTTTGGCTGTGTGCATCTTAGTTATGCAGAGATTGGGTGAATGCTTAAACCTTTTAAGTAATAAAGCGTCCCTTATCAAAAAAGTTGGAACTCCACAATATCATAGGGCGAAGATTAAGAAGCTCCACAAGAAATGCTTGTAATCATTTCCAAAGAAAGATGTCAAATCTCAAGATTGACAAAGTCATATAGCGTACCCCTTATTGATGATCACGTCACCTACCAATGAAAGAATAACATTAAAATTCTAAAATAAATTGTGGAAAATACGAGCACTTGTACCAATGACAAGTATCCGGGTGGGCACATACCATTAGAAGGAACACTCGTCGAAAACACGACATTGAAGTTGGCTCCAACTTTCGCTTGTTGATGCGGTGTGCAAGATCGGGTTGAGAAGCATGAATCACCATAATCAGCAGGAGGAAATGCGAAACACTGAATCCCGCGAAGCAATACGAGGAAGCAATAATTGGTGTCAAGGACGAAACTGATTCAGGGGAGACGACATGCCTAATTGTTCCGGTAGCAAATTAGAACAAGAGGACACATCAGCAAGGCGGCGAGCTAGCCATCGGTGACTAGCACCACCTCGCTTCCACATGCTTTTGCATCGGACCCAAAGTTAGCTGCGCCATCCTTGATGTGGCGGCCTGATAATGTCTAGTAAAAAATTTGTTGTATTGCCAAGTATTGTTTGGCTGACATCCGCTAGGATGTCCTGATCTTTCAATGAGAGCACAAGATCTATGTCTTGCGGAGGAGACTTTGACAATTCGAGTACACCTGACACTATAAGATGCATCTTAGCAATCGATAAATTAGCTTCCAACATGGTTACAAACTGCTGTGGCGATGAGCGATATTTTTTCACTTATTCAACCAATTTTTAAACCAGATAATTTCCGAATTTTTGAGAGAATCACTCAGATATAGATACTAATGACTAATGAATGCAGGAAATTACAAAAATTCTTTGCTTATGTGTTTCCACAAGAAATGGACTTAAACATGGAAGAATGTCATCACATAGAAGAAAATACAAAGTGTGGTGAACAAGGCATGTCAACAGGAGGTGCCAAGATCAATCCAGAGCGCAAGACGACACATGGTACAAGCGCACACGCTCATACCAACGGTTATACCGCACGCCGTTGGCACCATGGCGTCCACCTGGACAACTTTTACAAAGGGAGACATGTCAGAATCTCAATAGGAGAGCAACCATTTGTGGAACACAGAACTAGAACCCATCTTCCAACCTTAGTTGCCGTCATTTCTCGTCTGATCTCCATAGCCGCTGCCACCTTCATCACCGCTGCCATTCTTCCCAAGTTAGTCATACTTGCAATCGGTGCATCGCAATCAGAACTATTGTAAGCCATATTATCAATCAATCATTCATTTTTATATCGTCTTGAATGAGTTCATCTTGCGATCCGATCTTCATGTGCGAGGAATTCGCTAAGGAAATGGTTGAGGCAAGGCCTTGCAATCCTATGTATTTGTGCATGTGTCGTTGGGATCACTTTGCG